GGGAGAGAGAGAGTTAGAAACATTGATCAGCTGCCTCTTGCACACCCCCTACTGGGGATGTGTTCGCAACCAAGATACGTGCCCTTGACCGGAATCAAACCCGGGACCTTTCAGTCCTCAGGCTGACGCTTTATCCACTGAGCCAATCCGGTTTCAGCAAGACTATAATTTAAGTAGGGCCTTCACCTTTGTGGGTGCTAACAACGTATGCATCTTTTCTGAGCCTCGTCTCCCAGCGGGCAATGCAGGGCTAGTGCATTTTGAATACATTCATGGAAAACCAAATACACTCTAATCAGCCAGCCTCCACCTGAACACCATCCTGAGAATCCATGGACTGGGGGTTTTTTCTTCCTTGTTGGGACCACCAGGGTGGCACTGTGGCTTTGGGCTCATTCACAAAGTGCCAAGCCCCTGAGCGTTTGTTTTGTTTTTTTACACCTGTGTTTCCAAGACAACCACCTCTTCTGGCACAGGGCACCCATGTAAGGTGGGGGTTTCAGAGGCTGGGTCTTGAGTGAGACAGGTCTTGAGTGAGACGAGAACCCCAGCACAGCCACTTACTGAATATGTGACTTGGGTGAGGGACCTCAGCGGCATGTAAAACCTCTGTTTCTCCATCTGCTGAATGGGGACAGCCATTCCCACGTGCTGTGGAGCGGCCACATAATGGAAGCGGGTGGGTGGGGAGAGGGAAGTTTGTGGGAGTGTCGAGACAGAGCTGTCCTCCTTTTCTTGGCTCTGGAGCTATTTCTGTCTGAAGAACTGGGACCCGCCCCTGTAATCAGGGCACCCTCCACCCCCAGGCTCTGCTGGAGACTGGGTCAGATTTAATTCAGCTTTTTTCACACTCACCTTCAGCTCCATGGAACTACTTGCCAGCCTTTGCCCCTGGCTGGCATGCCCTCCCCTGTCCTCCATGCCTGTGGGGACTAGTGGGGCCCCTGTTTCGGCCCTCTGTGAACGGGCTTTCCCAAGCAGCCCAGTGGTGCTCAGTGCGCTGGCGAGCTGCCTGCTCTGCCCAGTGCTGGAGCCCCGGACAGCAGAGGAAGCAAGAGTTTACTGTGCCCGAAAAGCAGGAGCACAAACAATAGGAAAATATTCAAAAAATAACCTGCTGGGCCAAGTTTTTCCAGCACAACTCGGCTGGGATCCTGCTGCTGGTGGTTACTAAGATGGACTAGAGGCCAAACTACAGCTTCACGGATGGCCACGAGGGGGCGTAAACACACTTCAGGAAGCACCTGAGCATCTCACTTCCCAGAACTGGTGGAGGGAGTGTGTGTGTGTGTGTGTGTGTGTGTGTGTGTGTGTCCGTCCCTCCAGTGTGGAGAGGGCCAACCCAGGTTCCCGGCTTGATCCCGATAGGGGATGTGCAAAAGGCAGCCAATCGATGTTTCTCTCTATCCCTTCCTATCTCTAAAATCAATTTGAAAATGTGTAAAAAATAATTTAAAATTACTTATTTGTATACATAAGGCTACGTATTTTACTTTATCCTGTATAATAAAAGCATAATGTCCTAATTAGACCAGATCTCTTTCCGGACGAAGCCAGGGCTGCGAGGGCTGAGGCAGAGGCAGCCCACCGTGGTGGCAGGGGCAGAGCCCCCTGCATGAATTTCGTGCATCAGGCCTCTAGTATATTATAAATGACTGTTCTTTATGTTACAACGAAGGCATTACATTCATTTTTTTGAAGTTATGCATATAGATGAATTATATTTTCTTTAATTTTCATTGAAGGCTTGTAATGAGTGGTATTGTATTTATTATAGAAAGTCGCCTCTGAGAATCTCACAAACATAATTTGAACAAAAAAGCCAGACACTAAGGAGGCTTCTGAAATGAATGATTTCATTTCTTTGAAGTTCAAAACCAGATGAATGTAATTTACACTATTAGGAGTCAGGAAGGCAGCTACTTTGGAAGGCAGGAACTCGTGAGGGTGTGGCAGCGTTGAGGGTGTCCTTTTGCTGACCCGGGGGCTGTTGTGCAGGTGTGAAAGCTCAGATTGTGAAAGTTCACTGAGTGTCTGTACTTTTTTGTGTATATATTATGCTTTAATTAAAAAAACAAAACAAAAAAATCACCGAGACTGGTTTGGCTCAATGGATAAAGCGTGAGCCAGGTTCGATTCCGGTCAAGAGCATGTACCTTGGTTGCAGGCACATCCCCAGTAGGGGGTGTGCAAGAGGCAGCTGATCGATGATTCTCTCTCATCGATATTTCTAACTCTCTATCCCTCTCTCTTCCTCTCTGTAAAACATCAATAAAAATATATTAAAAAAACAACAACAACAAAAAAAAACAACCAAACCAAAAATGCTAAGTTAGCATCACCGGTAATGAAACAAATTAACATTGTGCCATTGTGATATTTCTACACGTTCATAACCTGACAAGCTCACCTGAGGGCCATTCTACTACCTGACCAGCCTGTCCTCTCCCACCGTGCCAATGTCCTGAAAGACATTCTGACCAGGGCTGCCTATTCCATCTCCAACCCTTAAGTCCTTTTTCTCTGCGGGACTGCCCAAGAAAAGGAGACCAAAAGGACTGAACAACTGAATGCAATGCCTGATTTGGGATTTATTTGGGTCACAAAAGGCATTATGGGGACAACTGGCAAAATCTTAACAAGGGATATTGATTAGATAGCAGTAATGCAACCATGTTACTCTCCTGATTTTGATTCTTGAACTGTTTATGTAAGAGAATATTTTTGTTTTTAGGAAAAACCACTGAAATATTTAGGGGTAAAAAGGTATCATGGACCCTCCCCCCTAGCCGGTTTGGTTCAGTGGATCAGAGCTTTGGCTGGTGGACTGAAGGGTTTCGGGTTCCATTCCAGTCAAGGGCATGTACCTTGGTTGTAGGCTCAATCCCTGGCCCTGGGTGGGGTTGAGTGCAGGAGGTGACCCATCGATGGGTCTCTCTCACATTGATGTTTTTGTCTCTCTGTTTCTCCCCCTCCATTCCACTCTCTCTAAAAATTAATGGAAATATATCCTCAGGTGAGGATTAGCAACAACAACAAAAGGTATCATGGCTGAAACTTTGTCAGACAGTTCAAAAAATATATGTATGTGAGAAAGAGGGTGTGGAGAGAGAACAAATGTGATAAAACAGGGAGTCTGGGTGGACAGTCTGAGGGTATTCCCTGTGTTATTTTTCTGTTTCCCCATATGCCTGAAATTATGCTAAAGTAGAAAGGTTTGGGGCTGAGGGGCTCCGGGCCTGATAGTGGAACCCTAGATGTCGGCCGTTCCTTTCTCTGTTCCCGTGACTGCAACCTCAGTTCCCCCTCCGTGTCAGTGTGAAGAGAGGCAGACCCAGAAGAAGCCAGAGCCTGGCATTTCCTGGCATGGACGAGGCGGGTCTTGTGTGCCAGGGGTGCTGAGGGTCCATCCGCAGGGGTCTTAGCTTACAGCAAGGCCTCAGTGAATTGGCCAGACACCCGAGTTTCTTCCCGCAGCATGACCTCTGACTTCAGGGGGCGCTGGATGGAGGCAGGCGCCCCAATGACTGTAAGAGCTGGTCGCTGCTGCCCTGACCTTAGCTTTCCCCCCACCCCCGGAGTTGCTGGAGCCACCGCTGGTGCCAGTTAAAGCGGCCTGGTTGTTGCTCAGCCCTCCACCCAACCCAGGGTCACAGGACCCCTGTGAGCAGCTTTGCGCTTGGCAACCCACACGGCGGGGGAGCTCTCCTCCAGGCCCCCTGCTGGCTCAGAAACCACAGGCTTCAAAGGTCTGGCTGTCCCCAAACTATCTTCCAGCTCGCCTGCAGCTGCCGGAAATGACACCATCAGAGCCCGCGCTCCTAGGAGACAGAGCATAGATGTCCAGGCTGTGTGTAGGTCCCGTGAAACACATGGAACGTCTTCATTTTCTGTCAATCAGTGAAATCTAGCTCTGAGCCCCCATTTCACAGATGAGGGATAATTACAGCTCTTGGACCACAGAGCCAGAAGCAGACATTCGCCCCAGTCAGTCCCTTTGCATGCCTTCAGAGGCAGCATTCCTTTCCTGCTGCCACCTGCCCATCCAGAGGCCATGGGAGCCGCTGGAAGTCTAAAGCAGGGACCGAGGGCCTCCTGGATTGGAAGCAGACAACGCCCCCCACCCCCACCCCCTCAGGTTCAGAAAGCACTAGGCATCACCTGGCCCCAAACCACCTTCCAACACAGGCAAATCCTGGCAGGTGCCTGCTGCCCCTCCTTGGCCCTGCGGTATGGACCGATGCCTGGGCCCTGGCAGTTCCTGGCTTGTCAGTCTGTGAGTCTCATCTAAATGCCTCCAGCTGCAACCCAAATGTTCAGGTCTTCAGGAGCATGGGAGGCTGAGCAGGTGGATCTTAATTTCCTCTTGGGACAGGAATTGTGGGAAAGGCCTGAGGACACAGGAGCCCCAGGGTCAGCTGGGCTCCCGGGGTCCCTCTGGTTTTCCTGATCTTCCCCCTTTCACGTGTGGCTCTACCCCAGACCCTTTAGGACTCGCCAGTAGCCCCGGGGGAGTCTCAGGCTCCAGCCCCACCGGTCCTTTCAGCCCCACAGACACTCTAGGCTCTCTCACCTCTGAGTTTGCTCACCAGCTCTTCCCTCAACTTCAAACACATTGTTCCCTTCGCTCTGCCTTGGGATTTATTTTTTTCACCCGATGAGGTCGTAGGCTCCTCCTCTTCTCTGCCCCCCATTGGCCCTGCCTGCCCTCTCTATAACCCTGACTTGCTAAGTACCCATGTCCCTCCCAACATCCCGTGCTTGGCTCACCACGGTCATGTCCCCAATGCTTAGAACAGAGCTTGACATAGCACAGGCACTCAAGGGGAATTTGCTGCATGGATGAATGCATTTATTAACCATTGCGTGGATGGATTGTCATGTAGGCGGCTTTGGTGGCGGGGGACGAGGGGAGATACTACATAAGCTGTAGCCAGAGCCTGCCCATGGCAGCAGGTGGCTGGAGGGAGAAGGCCGTGTCACCTCCAGCAGGCTGGGTGCTTTTTTTTTTTTCTTTTTTTTTTAATGGCCTGGCAGTGAGGTGCGCGCATGGCGGAGGCCTGCAGAAGAGGTAATGCCGAGAGGGTGTGCCCATCTCTAATTATTATTGCTTGAGCCTTTCTGGCAATGTCAGCTGCCTGCCCCGGAGAGCTCGGTCTCGTCCGTCACAGTGTGAGCTCAGGGTGGGGCCGCTGCCACTGGCAGTGGGAAGACGACGAGAGGAGGTTCCCAGGGACCTTTGGATCTCGGGGAGCAGAGGCAGCCCCAGGCTTGGAACGTGCTCAGCTCTTGTCCTTCCTGTCCCCAGGGCAACTGTCTCCTGACGTGGGGGTCCCGTCGAGAAGCCTGGAGGGTGGCCAAGGAGCAAGCCAGCTGAAGAGGGGGGGGTGTCTACAGCCCCCCCAGGCAGGGAGCCTTAGATGGTTTGGTGTCTGCTGACATGGAAGCCCTTGGGAAGATGGTGTCCTGGTGGCCAGCCGGGCAGCCGGGCAGCTCAGAACCGGAAGGAGGCCTTGACCAAACGGCCCATCAGTGGCTGTGGCGGCCGGAAGTTGTTCACCATGTGGATCCTCTCATCGTCCACCGAGGTGAAATGCAGGCCCCGGAACTTCTCCATCTTGAGAAGGCAGAAGAGAAACCCAGGGCGGGATGGGAGATCCCCTCTGATCCCAGACACATCACCTTGGCCTACCTGGCCCAGCCAGCTCTGCCTCTCCGCCCTCCCCTTCCCCTTAGGGCTTATCCCCAGTTCTCCCCCCTCATTCATTCTTGGGGACCCCAATATCATTTATTCACGCCAGGGCCTCTGACCCTGCTTCATCTGCTTCCAGTTCCAACCCCATGTAGTTAACAATGATCAGCAAACGCCACATTGAAGATCCTAACACAGTAGGCATGACCCCCAGGATCCAGGGATCTCCTCTCCCAGCCTGTGTCTCTGTCCTAATGACCCGTCCACCAAGCTAACTCCCATCTAAGAATCTAAACGTTTATTAGCAAAAGATGAGGGTCTCCATGGTGGGCCCACGGGCTGTGGGCTGCTGGCTGGGAGAGCCACACCGCTGGGGTGGACCCCGAAGGCCGCCTCCCTCCACCCGGAGGACTGACCTGCCTCTCAGAGATGCTGATGGGCTGTCGGAGCACAATCCAGGTGACGCTCTCACTCAGAGGGGGTGTGGTCAAGGAGCCCGGGTAGGTCCAGAAGTGCCGGCTGGCAGGCAGGAGGCAGCTGGGCTGGAAGCAGGTGAACTGGGCCTTGGTGCCCTGCACGGGTGGGGAACCCAAAAGTCAGCATAGATCTCCCACTAGGACCAGACCCGCAGCCCCCCTACCTGTTTCTGTCAGGGGGAATCTAGGCTTCTCCTTGGCTCAGGGATGCAAATAGTGGGCACATGCCAATAGTGGGCAGATCCCAGATGCCATCTCCCACCCAGGGCCAGGACCTGTCCACCCATTGGCTCGTATGTAAAAAAGCTGCAGGAGCTCTTTGGCCACATGTTTTGTCCCTTGCCTTTTATTTTTTTTTAAATTTCTTTATTGATTAAGGTATCACATATTTGTTTTAACCCCCCCATTCCAATCCCCCACCACTCCCACTCATGCCCCCGCCCCCCTATTGTCCTCGGCCACTGGTTAGGCTCATATGTGTGTGCACATAAGACTTTTGGTTGATCTCTCCCTTTTATCCCCACCCTCCCTCTGAGGTCCAACAGTCTGACCCATGGCTCCTTATCTCTGGGTCTGTTCTTGTTCATCAGTCTATGTTTTCCACCATTTCCCCTATGTCCCCTGCCTTTAGCGGCCCTGAGTGGCGCTGCCTTCGGGACAACCATGAACAGATGTGACAAGTATCTTATCAATCCTTTACCCCCAAGATGGCACGCTGGGGGCTCCATGGGGCCCCTGACCCTGGTAAAGAGGAGTCAGGAGCTGACCTGCGTCCTTCATCTCACCGAGGGCTTGCTACCAGAATGGAAGAGTGTATGGGTCTGCTCCGTGATGCAGCCTCTTCCCTTCTCTCTCCCCCCTGCCCCCCGGCCGGCTGCTCTGGGTCAGAGGCACGGACCCCTTATCTCACCTTAAACCGAACCATGTAGAGTGCGTCTGTCAGACGGTTCATATAGGGGTGCTCAGCCCCGATCTGTCAGGGAGAGGGTAGTGTGAGCCCGGTACCACTGGGTTCTGGAAATAGGGGCAGTCCCAGGCCTTTCATGTCCCCCACCCCGGTCCTGGGCAAACCCCCCTCACCTCCAAGAAGACACCGACCACCGCCAGGCCGTCGGGGGCTGAGGCCGCCTCCCCAAAGGTGCTGTACTTCTTGGCATTCCAATGAACCAGGTGCAGCTAGAGGGTCAGCAACAGGCGGGCCGGTGCTCAGCACCCCACGGGCCCCGGGGGCTCAGAGCAAGGCTTCGCTCACTCCCGTCAGACTCCTGGCCCCTCTGGAGGCAGGACAGGCTGCCCAACTGCCCCCGGGCCTAGCTAGCATCCTATGTGGGCCTGGGGAGCCCCCAAAGGGCAAAACCAAGCCTCCACCTTGCTCTGGGCCCACCCCTTTCCTGAGCCCCAGGGAACCTGGCTCCGGCCCTGCCCCCCATGAGCTATCTATAAAACAGATAATGACCATCCAGTGGCTATAAAACAGATAATGGCCATCTAGGGACACTCCCTGGGGAAGAGGCACTTGCACGGAGTCCAAAGAATAATTAGGGGTGATCGGCGGAACCTGGGGGGAAAGGTATTCCAGGAAGAATCCCTGGGGGTGTGCGCAGGAAAGAGCCCGGTGTGGGCTGGGGCCTCATTCCCCCCCGCAGGGCAGCGTGGGGACAGCTGGGGGGCGGGGGGAAGAGGAGGCTCTGCAAGGCCAAGTGCAGGCAGGGCCTTGAATGCTAACCGCAGTCCTTGAAGGCTTAGTAGCAGGGGTGTGGTGGGACTGGATTTGCCCCTGAGAAAATTCCTTCCGGACACACACACCAGGGCAGCCGTGGGAGAGTTCGGCTAGAAGACCCTGGGCCTGGGGGTGTAGATGGAGGACGTTCCTCCCCAAGACACGGGGTGCTCCTCCCCAGTCTCTCCAGAACTCCAGACCAGGCCCCTGCCAACCCTCTGGCTGTCCAGGCCCCCACTCCTTCCCCAAGGGGACTCCCACTGAGGAGGGTCCTTACCTCGCAGGGGAACGACTTGCCGTCCACCATGTGCTCCGAGCCCACGTTGTGCATCTTGCCCCAGTGGAAATGGAACTGCCTGAGCCGGTAGGGCCCATCCAGGGGGCCCCCAGTCACCACTGAGGGGAGAAGTGGGGCGTGTGGCAATCCACGCGAGAGAGGCCACAACAACCGGCAGGCGCCAGAGCCAGCCAGGATCCGGGGAGTACCCAAGGGGGAGATACATTTTTCATTTGGAAAACTGGTGGGGCTGATTGGTCTTGGGTCAGTCTCTACTCTGTTCCCTGGGCCCTTAGCTGGGCCAGGGCAGAAGTCCTGGCGGCCTGCAGGTGGCAGAGAGTGTGGCACTGACAGAATACATCTCTCCGTTATCCCTGTCCTGCCCAAGTTTGCATGGAAGCTGGAACCTTTCGTCTAACAACCCCCCCCCCCCCCCCAATGATCACTAACAATATGCCCCCATGTCTGAAGTGCTGAACAAAAGTTGGGTCAGAAGGAATGTTTTGCTTAGTCCTCATAGTAGTTCCTGAGGGCCAGAACCTATTACCTCTGTCTTGTAAAGGTGGGAACCAAGGCACAAAGCATTTGCCCAGGGTCACACAGCAAGGCACTGAGCTAGGAGATGAGCCTGCATATCCTTTGTAAGTCCAGAGCCCACGCCCCTAATCACCAGGCCATGCTGCCTCCTTGGGACCTACTGTTATCCAGAGGCCAGCTCCTGAGGGTCCCCAGGCTGGTGGCTGGGCCCAGGTACCCCCTTGGGCTCCTTGGCGGGTCCCATCTGTGCTGGTTTATGACTTCCCCACCCTGATGTCTGGTGAGCTGGGGCCACGCCTAAGGCCTCCTGAGACTTCTTGAATTTCTAGCTGAAAGGGATCTGGCAGTGGAGGGAGCTGCTGCCAGGCCTGAATGTGAGCCCCTGGATCAGGTGACTGCCCTGGGCTCCGAGTTCCATCAGACCTCTCAGGACGGTGACCAGGCCAGGGCCTTGCCCTCTGAGGGCCCCTTGAGGCGGAGGAGGAGGGGGAGGAGGAGGAAGAGGAGGGAGAGGGGAAGGAACAGGAGGAGAGAGGACAATCCTTGCTGTCTGTCCTGCCTTATCTGAGAAGCAGGGCCTTTAGGCTGAGCTCTCTGACATGGCCTTCGGGGACCCCCTCCTCTGAGCATGCCATACCTGGGACCCAAGTGTGGTCTCTCAGAGAATGAACTCCTTCCCTAACCCCTTGAACTTGGCTCCTTTGGCCTCCTCTGACCATAAAACACACTGCCATTCACTCTGCGCTTACTGCATTCTGAACTCCATAGGGGTCAACCCCCCCACAGAGACCTTGAGGGGGACACATGGTTGTCCCCATTGGACAAATGTGAGACGAAGGCTCAGAGAAGTGGGTATTCTGTCCAGGGTCACACAGCTATGGTGTGGCACAGCTCCAATCATCTCTCCCCCAAACCTACCTTCTTTCCACGGGCTCCCTGCCCTCTCAGGCCTGGGTATTCTGGTAGGGGAGGGAACCCCAGCGGACTTGAAAGCAAGTCCCCGTGTCAGTGGTTCAGGGGCATGCCCCTTGGGCCTTCTACCCTCACCCCATACAGAGGCCTTCATTGAGCTACTGATGTCTGAATTGAACCCTCAGTGCCCTCCGTTTAGGAGGTGCAGCCATATGAAAACTGCTCCTTCATAAGCCTAATCTAGGGTTGGTTATCAAGAGTCTCATGTCCCTCTCCAAAGCTCTGGGTGAGAGGCTTTTCTTACAGTTTTGTACCAGGAAATGCTATGTCTCTTTTCTAAGGATCTGCTTCCTTCTGTTGCAAGAACTATAACTGATCCTCTTTTCCTTTTTGCCTAGCCTACCAGGCAACTCAGAGCTAAGCAACTAACATCAGTCCCATCTGATTTCCCTCCTCTTCGATTTGAAAAAAAAAAAAAATTATTTGGGAGAATAGGGGAGAGAGAGAGAGAGAGAGAGAGAGAGAGAGAGAGAGAGAGAGAGAAACATCAATGATGAGAGAGAATGATGGATTGGCTGCCTCCTGCATGCTCCCCACTGGGGATCGAGCCAGCAGCCTGGGCATGTGCCCTGACCAGGAATCAAATGTGACCTCCTGACTGGATACTCAACCACTGAGCCAGGCCAGCCGGGCTGACCTTTGATTTTTTTTTATTTGAAACTTAAGTTCCCTTGAGTGCTTTTATTATGTGCATGGGAGGGGGGAGGGGGAGGTTAAGCAGAGTTCCTGTCACTTTCTTACACAAGAAACTCCAGCAAGTCTCCTCCTTGCCCCACTCCACCCCTCCTAAGTCTGATCATAAGGACACAACTCCTTCACGGAGGAGCGCTTCTGAGGCCCTCTGCCTAGGAATTTATCATGAAAGAGTCTGGACTTTACTCCCAGGGCAAAGAGACCTTGGAGAGAGCGCCACGGATTCCCGCTGGCCTCACTCTGGCCCAGGAGAGCTGGGACCTTGAGGCGGAATGTGGGCTGGGAAGAAGACCTTTGGAGTTGGACAGGCTGGTTTGGGCCTTCCCCAGCTCACTGAGTCTCTACCTGCCTATCTTTTCTTTAAAAAAAAAAAAAAAAATCCTCACTTGAAGATACATTTTTATTGATTTTTAAAGAAAGAGAAGAAGTGGTGGTGGTGGTAGTGGGGGAATCCATGTGAGAGAGAAACATTGATCAGCTGTCTGTTGTACCTGCCTGTCTACGCTGGGTTTCCGACCCACAATCACCAATCAATATTGATTGGTTCTCTGACTGGGAATCAAGCCCACAACCTTTGGGGTACAAGACGATGCTCCAACCGAGCCCCCAAGCCGGGGCACCTGCTTGCCCACCTTAGAGGTAGATTCTTGAGGGGAATCAGAGAGCTGCCTGTGACCTTAGCAAGGGGCCTGGCACCGAACATTTTCGCTGCTTTCTCTCTCTCGCTGCTGGGCTTGGCCAGGTCACCCAAAGAGGAGGGTTCAGCCTTAGGCCGCACAGCCCTGCGGTGACGGGGCAGGGAGTGCAGTGGAAACAAACCTGACCTAAAGCACTAAAGAGAAGGAGGGGAAGCGGCACTTCTTGAGCATCTGAGCATCTGCTGTGTGCCAGCACTACAAACACCGCTTCAGCTTTTTCATTTTTCCTTTCTATGACCCTAAGGAGCAAAATAAGGTCTCGTTGCCGAAATCGGTTTGGCTCAGTGAATAGAGCATCGGCTTGCGGACTCAAGGGTCCCGGGTTCGATTCCGGTCAGGGGCACGTACCTTGGTTTCAGGCACATCCCCAGTAGGGGGTGTGCAAGAGGCAGCTGATTGATGTTTCTCTCATCGATGTTTCTGACTTTCTATCCCTTTCCCTTCTTCTCTGTAAAAAATCAATAGGATATATTTTAAAAAAATAAATAAAAAATAAGGTCTCATTACTCTCATTTGATGCCTAAGGAGACTGAGGCTCAGGCCACGGCTTTACAGCTGGTGAGAGGTGGAGCCTCCCCCTCCAAGACCCCCCACCGCATGCTGCCCCTCCTGTGCCTGCCCCAACAGGGTGAGTTCCCCAGGTTAGGGGTGCCAGAGTCTGTGAGGGTCCACTTACCAGATCGATCATCGCTGTCGTTGAAGTCCACCTGGACGGAGTGGCCATTGTTGGCAATGCTGAGGGATGTGCAGCCCTCGTAGGAAAGCTTCAGTGGCTTCAGGCTGGGCGAATACACAGCTTGTCTGGATATGATATTGATCGGTGATTGGCGGACTCCCTGGGCAATGGGATACAGCTTGTACCACTGTGAGGGGCCTGCGGGTTGGGAGAGGGGACGGACTCAGGCCAGCCCAGGTGTCTCCCTGGTATCCTTCTAGACCTTGGCCCCTGCTTTGGAGCTGTGTGTGGCCTGGAGCTCCAATCCCAGCTCTGCCACTTCCCCTCCATGTCCTTGTCTTTGAAGTGACCTCATGAAAACTCACCACCCAGCCCTAACCGGTTTGGCTCAGTGGATAGAGCGTTGGCCTGGGGACTCGAGGGTCCCAGGTTCAATTCCAGGGCATGTACCTTGGTTGAGGGCACATCCCCAGTGGGGAGTGTCCAGAAGGCAGCTGATTGATGTTTCTCTCTCATCGATGTTTCTAACTCTCTATCCCTCCCCCTTCCTCTCTGTAAAAAAAAAAAATAAATCAATAAATCAATAAAATATTAAAAACAAAACAAAACAAGCAAAAAAGCCCTCACCCCCCAGAGCTGATAGGAGGCCCAGAGAGGTAGTGCATGGAAGAGAGCACAATACAGCCGTAGGCTTGGGGTGGTTCTGGGCAGTGAGTCCTCCCAACATCCAGTTCCTGGTCGGAGGGATCCCTCCCCGCCAGGCATCTGCAGTTCCTGGCCTGACCCCACCAGGTATCTGGCCTTTTCCCGCACCTTGGGCATGTTCGGGTTGTTGTTTGTGATAACAATAACAAAAGCTCCCATCATCCTGGCTTTGACAGTGTGACATGTGTCTGTTCCTAATAGCCACTTTGTGAATAGAAACCAAGGCGGTCCTCATTTCACCAATGAGGGGATTGAAGCCCACCCAGGTATGTGCACACATACACGTGGGCACTGGTATAAGCCTAGCACATGCATGAACTGCCCCTAGCGGTCCTCCCCAGCATGTGCCTACCTATCCATAGAGTTTTCACATATGTACGCATGTGCATAGTGGCCGGAGCTCAATGGGCCCTGAGCAGTGAGGCCCAGCAACACACGTGCGTACAAACACACACACACCTTGCTGACTATACCTGACACATCCATATGAACCCTTACCCAGAGACTGCTTGTTGCAAACCCAGATCAGCACTAAGGGACTACAGCAAAACACATGCTGGTATGCGCACACACACGCACACACACACCCCTGCGTGCACACCCACACACCTGCATGCACACCCACCGGCACCCACCACCTGCCTCCCAGAGGCTCCATCTGCAGCCGAGAGGCTTCTCCCTGAGGAACATCCTGAGATGCGGCCTATTTTTAGAGCTTTGCCGGCTGGTGCTTCTCCCTGTCTTTTGGCTTCTTACGTTTTCCCGAGAAAAATAGCAGCAGGTGCCAACAGAGCTGTGTCCCCAGTGGATGACTCAGATCGGGGTCCAGACTCCCTGGGTTATTTTTGAAGTCTCGTGAGTATGCCGCCCTCTGGCACCTCTGTCCTTTGTCCTTTTCTCCCTCGGGGACCCTCCACTGGAGCGCCCAGGTCTGAGTGGGTGAGGGGCAGCCAGCAATCTGAGGGTGGCTGGCCATGGGGCAGGCCTATAGGATACTGGAAGCTCAGAGCGTGTGGGCAGCGCTAGAGAGAAGGCTGGAGTTAGGGAATTCTGACGCTCACAGAAGCTGGCTTGGAGCAGGTGGTGGAGATGATCTAGTATGGGTTGTCAGCTCGCCCCTTTTCTGCCTCTCTCTCCATCTCTGCCGGTCTCCGTTGCCTTTCTCTGAATGTCTCTTCCTAGCTTTTGCATGCCCACATCTGGAGTTCTCCCTCCAAAAGATGCCCCCGTGTCCTTGGGGTTCCAGAGGGGGCCAGATACCCCACAGCATCTCTCTAACGCCCTCTGGCCCCAGACTGTGTAGTCCAGGACATCCATCCTCAACCCCCATCAACTGAGTCTCCCCACAGAAGGGGTGGGGTTTGGGGGGTGAGGGTAGGGAGTGTTCCTCCCACTTGAATTTGCCCTTCTCCCACCCCCACCTGCCCTGCCTGGGTCTGCCCAGGAGCCTGGATCTTGGGTCCTCAGGATTCACCTCCCGGAAAGGGGGAAACCCTTACCGCCCCCCCACCCCCCCATCTCAGCCCCCAAAGGAACTGACCTGCCGCAGGCCCACACGCAAGTGGTCTGCCTCGGCTCCCTTCCTCTCTGCATCCTACGGAAACTGAGGCAGCACCGAGGAGGATGGCGCGGGCCACGCCTCACGCCGGGACGTGTCCAGACACCCTGCTCCACGGAGACACCCCACACACCTCCGTGGGCACCCCGAGGTCCCATCTCCTCCGGTACCTGCCGACAGGTAAGCGCCGCCGCACATCCTCCGGGGACACTCTCCCCGGGCCATCCGCCCTTGCCCTTGCGGGGCCGGACGCGGGCAGATTCCTGCGCGCTCCATCCCGCATCCATCTCGCACCCACGCACCGCGCTCCGCCCCCGACCGGCCGCCCAGTCCCCGCGGCTCCGGGTCACTTCCAGCCCCGGTGCCCGCGGGGGGAGAGGGCGATCGCGGCCCCGGTCGGAGCGAGCGCCGCGGAGGCGGGGGGCTGCGCGGAGGAGGCGGCACCGCGCGGCCGGGACGCAGCGCGGGCTTTGCGCCGCGGGGCGCAGGGAAGCCCGGGCTCGGGCCGGGCAGGGGGGCCGGGTTCTGGGGGGCTGGAGGGATTTGGGGGGGGATCCCGGTCTGGCCTGAAGGGTGCGGCGGGCTTTGCGGGTCCGGGAAGCCCGGGGAGCCCGGGCCGGGCTTGAGGGTCGGGGGGAGGGGGGGTGAGTCGCCGCGGCGCCGGGCCAGCCAGGGTCTGCGCCTACCGTCCTTGTGGCCGTAGCCCCAGCCGTGGTGGCCGGTCATGCCGCCGCCGCCGCCGCCGCCCCGCAGTCGTGCACCTGCCGCCGGCTGGACTCGGCTCCGCTGGCTCCGGCTGCGGCTCCCCGCCCCGCTCGCTGCCGCGGAGCAGCCTCTTAAAGCGGTGGCGGGCGGAGCGGTTCCCGGGAGACCCGCCCCGCCCCCGCACCCCCACCCCTCCCGCACCCCCACCCCATCCGGGCGAGAGAGGCCGGCCCGCACCGCCCCGTCCACAAACTGGTTGAGCCCCCAGTCGAGATGAGATGCGGGGCTAAGGGGGGACGTAAACCTCTCCAGTCCTGACCTGATGACTCTCCTTCCTCCCCTCCAGCACGTGTGCAAGCTCTGGGACCAGGAACCGCTCGGGTTTCCCACATCCCCTCCCCACCCCTCCCCAGGCTGGTCCCTGGGCAGGGCCCTGCGCCCTGGGCCCTGAGTCCTCTGGGCTTGGTGAGAGATTCCCCTTTAAATTGCGAATTGCACTGACCATCATGTCCAGAAACTGGAGCTTCCCGTGTTTGCCAGACACTCGGGCAGGTTCTGGGCTTCGGGTCTATCCTGTTCTCTGGACCTCCAGCTTCCCCATTAGGCCTCTCTGAGAGGAGGGGACTGAGGCCTAAGAGGTCGCTCTAGGTCACTAGCCAGCTAGTGAGTGATTCGCTCCCAGGTTGTGTCATTCCAGGGACTGTGTTCTTTACCCTCCACCCCCATGGGGCAGGGATGGGGGCAGGTGGGTCCTGGGGGTGCAGGGGTCTAGGAGCCTTGGGGGAGGGCAAGGGCCGTCCAAACCCTTAGCCCAGGAAAAGCCAGAGTCTTCAAGGCAAGTGGGAAGTTTTGGCACAAACTAGCGGCATGAAGACAGACAGATCCACAGACACCACCTGGCTTACTCTTGGATCCAAGGCCCAGACCTTGCCTCCCACCTGCTCTTTTTCTCCATCGCTTCTTCATTCTGTCCAGGACTCTCTGCCGGTCCCTGTGCAGCCCACTCCTTGTCCCTCCTTTCCTTGCCTCCCATGGCTCTCGGCACACATGCAGGGAGCTCAGGCCCCTCACCCTGCCTTCAACCTCACTGCCGGTCCTGGCCCAACATTTTCCCACCCTCTAGGTCTGGGCATCCGGCCTCCACCTGGTACATCCTTTGTCTCCCACCCGCTGGTTCCAGCCTGGCCCAGCCTAATTCATCTCAGGATGTGCCTTGTGCCAAGACTAGGGCTAGTGTCTGGCTAATCTTAGCAGGCAAGACGGACAGCTGGGTGGACAGAAGGACAGGATATGGTCCCACCAAGGTGCCTGCCCCAACAGGAGTTCAAAGGGCCATACGTGTCTGCTGGTCTGACCTTGACCAGAGGAGACTCTTTTCAGGCCCTGCTCTTGGCTGACCTTGTGAAGGATTCTGCCATTCTGTCTGTCTGACTCCCCTACTTCTCCGTGGATGTCTATTCATCAGTTTCCCTCTCCTCGGCCCTGAACCCCAGTTCCCCAGGAGGAGTTGTGGAGATTAATGGACAACTTTCAAGGGAAGTCAGTGATTTCTCAGGCCTGCCTGGATATCCTTCTCTGACCCAGGAACAGGAAGGGGCCCTTCATATAAATATCTGACCCTCAGATGTGGACGGGGGACTCCTGATAGAGATGCCAGGAGTGACCCCAAAATCAGCAAGTGACAGAGGATGCAACACTGCCGAGGCCCCAGCTCTCCGAGCCAGAAATGTCATCCTCAGACCAGGAAGATGAAGGCTGCTTCCACGTGACCTGCTGCCTCTGTTCAGCTCGCAGAGAAGCCTGCCTTCTCCTGGGGGCGCGGTCACACCCTCAGGACCTGGGGTGGGGCGCAAATGTGTCTACTTCCCTGACCCACGTCCCCCTCACAAATGACCCAGGCCTTTTCCACATTTGTTCATAGCATTAAACATAAATTGGAATTATTTGTATAGTTTTGCATCCAGTTTCATCTGCACAGCAATCCTGGGGGGGATTTCACCCCATTTTACAGACGAGAAAAGCAAGGCTCAGAGAAGTTTAATTATGGTGCACCGTGAGTGGCAAAGCAAGGATGAAACCCAAGGCTGCTGAGTCCCGTATTCAATATGTCTAAAATCACTGAGAGGGGGAAGAAGTGGATTTTAAATTTGGTTGTCATTTGTGCATATATATGCTTTGCATAAGTATGCATGACTCTGGAAGGAGTTAAGAGAAACTAGGGAGAAATTTGCCTCCAAGGAGGAGACAGGGAGACTAGAAGGGTGGGGGAGAGGGAGGAATAGGGGTGGAGGGACATCTGTGCTGCCTACTGCTTTCAAAAGAATTGAATGTGTACAGTTAACTCTTGAACAATATGGGTTTGAACTGCACAGGCCCACTTATACATGGATTTATTTTTATTTATTTTTTTATTTTTATTTTTATTTTATTTATTTTTTAAAATGTATTTTATTGATTTTTCACAGAGAGGAAGGGAGAGAGATAGAGAGCTAGAAACATCGATGAGAGAGTCATCGATCAGCTGCCTCTTGCACACCCCCTACTGGGGATGTGCCCGCAACCCAGGTACATGCCCTTGACCGGAATCGAACCTGGGACCCTTCAGTCCGCAGACCAACGCTCTACCACTGAGCCAAACCGGCTTCGGCTATTTTTTTATTTTTAAATATGTTATTGATTTTTTTTCAGAGAGGAAGAGAGAGGGATAGAGAGTTAGAAACATCGATAGAGAAAAACATTGACCAGCTACCTCCTGCGCGCGCACACACACACACACACACACACACACGCAACCAAGGTACGTGCCCGCAACCAAGGTACATGCCCTTGACCGGAATCGAACCCAGGACGCCTGAGTCCGCAGGCCAATGCTCTATCCACTGAGCCAAACTGGTCTTGGCCATGGATTTTTTTTTTTTTTTAATAAATACATTCAGAACTCTAAATGTATTTTTTCTTATGATTTTCTTAGTAACATTTTCTTTTTCCTAGCTTAGTTGATTGTAAGAATACAGCCTATGACACATATAACATACAAACTGTGTGTTAACAGACTGCGTTATCAGGAAAGCTTCCGGTCAACAGTAGGCTATTGCGAGTTAAGTTTTAGAGGAATCAAAAGTGATGCGTGGAATTTCGACTGCATGGGGCGTGGATCGGTGTCACTCACCCGCATATTGTTCAAGAGTCAACTGTGTCACCTCTTTGACAACTAAATAAAAGTTGATCCCATTCTCTCCTTCCTGCAGCTTGACTTCAAAAATTTCCTCCCAGCGCTGGAGCGCCGGGAGCTCAGGAAGATGAGAGGAGCCGGTGGAGCCTGCCTGTCTCAGATGGAGCCCCAGTTGTCCCGGCAGCCATTCAGGTCAACCTGGTAAAGCCTGCGCCCTCATTCAGGCGCCTCCTGTCTCAATTACGTGCTGTCATTAAAGCTGAATTGATTTCACTGCTCTGGAGTTGACTCTTTGGCCTCGTTGGTGTCAGTGGATCCTGGATTTTGCTGTTTCTGGAGGAAATGTGAGGGCTTTGCTGAAGGGCTGGGGAGGAGGGCAGGAGCAGCTTGCATAGCCACACCTCATTCATCAAGCAACTTTGACCTGATCTCACTTTCCTTCTTGACGGTACAGTGCTTTTGCTCTGTAGCTGATAAGAGGCTCATCCCCACCTTGTCCACTTTATGAGCATTCCTGTGAGCATGGGTTGAGAAAATAGATGTCCAATGCTGCACCAACAGGCAGAATCATGCCTGCTCTTCACAGTATTATCATGCACAGGACCAACAGGCAGGCTAGAAGCCCGATGGCCTAGAGATTCTAAGATCAGAATGATTGTTTCTTGTGTTTTTAAAAAACATTTCCCCTCCAAGCATGTGTGGGGATGTGTGCAAGCAGTGGGATATAATGATCCTGGGCTGTGGACTCAGACAGATCTGGGCTTGGCTTCCAGCATCTCTGGCTGTGTGACCTGGGGCAAGTTGCTTGACCTCTCTGAGATTGGAATAGAGAGTCTAGAAGGCTAACAGTATAGTCAGGTAAGGTGATTCCTGGCACCACAGATGCGCCCATGAGACCCTAGTATCTCTTGTTCTTCCCCCTTTCCTTACCTTGTTGGGCACATTTAAAACCCCAAACATGCCCTAACCATTTGGCTCAGTGGACAGAGCGTCGGCCTGCAGACTGAAGGGTCCCAGTTCAATTCCAGTCAAGAGCATGTACCTTGATTACAGGCACATCCCCAATAGGTGGTGTGCAGGAGGCAGCTGATCAATGTTTCTCTCTCTCTCAGCAATGTTCCTAACTCCCTCTCCCTCTCCCTTCTTCTCTGTAGAAAATCAATAAAATATATTAAAAAAATAATTTAAAAAAACCCCAAACATTCCTTTGCCAATTATAGTAGTGGCAATTCAACTATTCATTGCAGAAAATTTGGAAGAATCAGAAAAGTATATAGAAGAAAATTTAAACAGATCATGTGACTCAAGAATCAGCACTGTTAATATTTTAGTGACCATCCTGCCCAGCTTTTTAAATACACGTTAGTCATACTTTAAAAAACAATCAGAATCACATGTGTTCACATGTATAGCTTTGTGATCAGCCCCCCGCCACACACACACCTAATGCTCTATGTTGTTTGGTCAGCCTTGGAGAACTTGACACTTAACAACTGCACAAGGGTTTAGTATATGAGTTATTTCCAGTTTTCATTATTATAAATAGTACTGCAGTGAACATTCATATTTATACATCTTTGGGTGTGTCTGATGCTTCCTTGGGATAAGCTGCTAGAAGTGGAGTTACCATATCAGATGATATATACATTACCAGTAAGGCATTTAAAAATGTAAAGTAGTTTCAGAAATGCATTCTTTCGTTCAATAAGCATTTGTTGAAGATTTATTAGACGTCAAGTATTGGGGCAGGCATGGGTAATACAACTGTGAACATAGACCCTCAGCTGTTTCGGGAGGGGTGGGAAAGAGAGGTAAATGATTGGCCAATAAGAGCCAGGATGAGAAGGGCTAGGATGGGCAAAGGGCAGGCAGGGAAGGTTAGTGGCGGAGGCCTGGGAGAGTGTCCTGGGTTGTGACTGATTCTTCCTGGCTCTTTTCCCATACATTGTAAATTCTTCTAGGGCAG